AGCCTGAACTCTCCTTAGAAGTCAATATGATTAAACTGAGGCTATCATACTTTGGGCACATCGTGAGACATGATGATTCTTTGGAAAAGACAATAATGCTTTGCAAAGTGGAAAGCAGTAGGCAAAAAAGAAGAATGCATTACAGATGGATGGAGTCAATAAAAGAAGCCATAGCCCTAACTTTGCATGATCTGAGCAAGGCAGTTGATGACAAAAAAGTCAAAGCCAATTTGATGGTGAATAACAATAACAGGCATGTTACCAACCGCTGAACTGCAACCACTTCATGTTTTATTGTGTTTCAGTTGATATTTTAATTTTCTACACTGCTTACATATTTGTGGATGTGAATTAGTTTGAAATATGTTAACTACCTAAATGTTTCTTGTGATTATTCCAAAATAAATGTTCCGAGTGGGGTTGAACTGAGAGCTAAGGGAAATTACTTTTAGGGGTACATCCTCCAAAAGCTCTCAGCCCATGGGATTTGGGATGCTGGAAGCTAAGAGAACCCTATGATAGGTTTGCTTCAGAGTCATCATAAGTTGGGAATGACTTGAAGGCACACAACAACAACAACAACAACAACATAATATCTCTATGTTCTTATTGAGTTTCCTCTAGTCCTGACATTCTTCTTTAAATCTCACATAAGTTTTGCATATGAATATATATGCCTTATTTCCCCCTTTTTAAAAAGTTAACTTCACGCAAGGGGCTTTAATACACCAAGGGCACCTGGAAAGGCTGCAGCAGTTTGTTTTTGCCTGAGTCTTTTCTTCATTGCCCCTTTCCTTTCCTTTATTGAGAGCAAACTATTTTTCCCTTTTAACTCAGGTCCAAAACACGCTGCAGAAATAATCCAGTTTGAGACCAGCTTTAACTGCCCTGGCTCAATGCTAGGAAATTCTGGGAAGCATAGTTTTGTGAGACAATTAGCCTTCTCTGTCTGAGAGCTCTGGTGCTACAATAAACTACAATACCCAGGATTCCATAGTACTGAGCCAACACAGTTAAAGTTGATCTCAAACTGAATTATTTCTGCAGTGTGTTTTGGACCTCAGTTTGCATTAGTTGAAGTCAGCAGAGAACAAAGGGAGAAAGTGGGAGAAGTAGAGAGAAGCTAGGACATTTTAAAAGCAGATGAAAAAATGGGATGGCAAAGGGTTAATCAAGCCCATTGGAGGCCATGCTATCTTCTGCCATCCTTGAATTCCTTCCTACAAGGCCTCCTTCTGTCATCTCTAATGACTGCTTTGCTTTCACCCTCCAAATTGAACCTTGCAAGCCGGATTTGGGTATGTAGAGAGATCTTGTAGCACCTTTCAGACGAGATCTCTCTACATACTGATTCTACAGATTGACACAGCTATATCTTTGAAGCTGGGTTTGAATTCACAGACCCCCATTGCCACAAGGCATGACTGCCTTTCTAAACAGGGCTGGAGACTGGAGGAACAAGCCAAGGAAAGAAAAGCCGAAGGACAGCGCCCCAACAGAAAAGGAGCAATGAGGACAGGCAGGGTGGGAGGGAGGCTTGGCAAAAAGTTGCACTAGGTCTGTTGGATAAACCCGGACGAGAAAAGGGTTAAAGTTGGATTTAATCAACAGTCACTAATTAATCCCTTGGATGACATTAGATTGTGGGCTACATTGCTGCAGTGGGGGGGGGGATGAGGACAGGGAAGGGGGGAGTCTAATTCACTCTAGTGATTTCTCCAGGGACATTTGGGTTGTTGTGGCAGGCAACATTCATAAATCACCATTTAAGCTGGGGGAGGGCAAAGGAGGCGAGGGGGAGCTGTGGGTTGTCAGGATGTTGGGAGCTCTGGCCGCTTGGTTGCAAACACAGGGTGGGGAGGATGGAGCAGTCAATCCTGGCAGAGATCAAGCCAAACTCCTTCAATTGGAGACAATTTTTTTTTTAAAGAACACCCAAGAATGTTGCATTAGGGCTTGCTTTCCTTACCGGAAAGTCCAAATGTTGGGTGTTTCTCAAGCCAGTGCTAGAGAGGGTTGCCACAAGGATCTGTGTAGCAACTGTTGTTGTGTGTCTTCAAGTCCTTTCTGACTTATGGCGATCCTAAGGTGACCCTATGATAGGGTTTTCTTGGCAAGGTTAGTTCCCAGGGAGGTTTGCCGTTGCCTTCCCCTGAGGCTGAGAGTGTGTGACTTGCCCAAGGTCACCCAGTAGATTTCATGGCCGAGCGAGGAATCAAACCCTGGTCTCCAGAGTCACAGTCCATGCCTGGGGTGGGCAAAATGAGGGCACGGCACACACACCCTAAGAATTCTGCCACCTCGAATGAAATTTTTCTTCGGCCCCTGAATTTTCTAGCATTGCAATCGGTGGGGCATTTAGAAATAGAGTTTAGGCATCCAGAGAAAAGGGCCAGGCAAAAGGGCCAAGGGCCAGTCAACACAGCAAGCAGAAGAGTCCTAGGGTTGCCAGATTGAAAACATGAGAGGGCTCCTGTATATTTAATCATTGGGTCGAAGAGGGGAGTTCAAGTGGGGCTGCTTCTCACACAACCAGGTAGCAAGCCACTCCTGTTGAAATGCTCTCATCAATGCCAATATTATGGTAAATGTACAGAAGCCCTCTCACGTTTTCACTCCGTCAGCTGTTATTTCATTGTCTCATTCTCTGCAATGGTAGACATTTGGGGAGTGAAAGGAAAAATTTAATGCGGGGGGCAAAAATTTTATTTGGAGGGGCAATGCCCTCGTTTTGTCCACACACACACACACACACAGTAGCTTCATCTCTGTATTGTAATTGCCCGGTTGTTTAATTGTTCTTAACTTTTATATATATGTATGTTGTTATTGCTGGGCTGTTATTCCCCATAAAGTTGACTCTTGCTTTTGATAACCCTTCTGAATGAGAGACCTCCAGGTCCTCCTGTTATCTACAGCCCTGCTATGGTCTTGCAAACTCAGGTCAGTTGTGGCTTCCTTGATGGAAGCAATCCGTCTGTGATGCTGCTTTCGTCTTTTCCTATTGCCTTCCCCTTTACCAACCATTATAGTCTTTTTCTAGGGAGTCATGTCATCTCATGATCTGTCCGAAGTACAACAGGCAAAATACAACAATTTAGTCATCTTGGCTTCAAGGGAGAGTTCAGATCTAATTTGCTCTGGGAGCCATTCATTTGTCTTGAATCCCAAACTGAGGAAAATGTGGGATATATAGAGTGGGGGGAGAGAGAAGGCAAAGAAGACAAGGAAAAGGAGGAGGAGGGGGAAGAATGGTTCAGGTCCCCACTTGGGTTCCCCACTTGGATGACCTTGGGCGAGTCACATTCTCTCAGCCCCAGAAAACCCCATGCTAGGTTTTGCCTTAGGTTCACCACATGTCAGAAGTGACTTGAAGGCAAACAACTACAAGACCAAGTGGGAAATGGGGAATGCATTCTCAATTGCATGCTATAAAATAATCTAATATCTGAAATTGTCATGGGAGTATACAGCAGCCACTCCTTACTGGTGCTTTTACATCATCTCCATCCAGTCTGGCTATTTGCCTGAAGAGTTGGAGATGATGGGCATTGTAGTCGAACCCACCTGGAGGGCCCCAGAGTGTGGAAGGTTGCACAGGAGCCTGGTCAGGGCTAAAGCTACAAAGAAGGCTCTCTTCTGCTGCAGCCATCCAGCCATCCTCCCTCTTTCTCTCCCCCTTTCTCCCAGAGTTCTGGTTCCTTTCCATTTAAGATTTATGGGTAGCTTCTTATCATCTATGAACAGCCCACGTTCCACCTGGAGAGAGCATAGAGAGTTCCCATCCATCATGGGGAGGGAATCTGTCACCGCAGGAGCCAGGGGAAGGGACCTCTCCCAGCACCCTGCCTTAAAAGGGGTTTCGGCATGGGATCCTTCTGGGTCTGTGCATCTTTCCCTCTTCCTTTCTCTCCCTTCCCTTTTCATTCTGCCGCCTGGGAAGACCCAGAGCCAAAGCGCCATCTTTGCTAGGGCTCAGCCATGAGCAGCCAACAGCCACTGTCTCTTGGGAAATAAATCTCAGTGGAACCGAAACGTCTCCTCAATTTAGCCTCAGCTCTTGGCATGCGGCAAAGTGAAGTCTTCACTTCACTTCTGTCTGTTTTCTGCTGCCATACAAACCATCCCAGAGATGGACAAACTCATGGAATGGTTTGTCTGGCAGCAGCAAACAGAAAGGTTACAGACAGGCAGGGGTATAACAGAGAGCAAGCTTAGTGTAGTGGATTTGAGTGTTGGACTATGACCCTGGGGACCAGGGTTCAATTCCCTGCTCATTGGGTAACCTTGGCTGCGTCACACACTCTCAGCCCCAGAAACCCCTGTGATAGGGTCGTCATAGGATCGCCATAATTCAGAAATAACTTGAAGGCACACAACAACCTCCCCAGATTTCTAATGAGACATTACAAATTGTTCACACCAAGTCCTTCTCTATTTGCTGTATTAGTATTCCCTTGGCTTGCCCCTTTTCTTTGGATGTCTCTACTGTATTTCCAAATGATCTGTTGACATTTTAAGTAGAATTCTAATGGGGAAAGGTAATGCTCTAATCTTGCCCCCACCCCAAAATACTCCCCTGTTAACTTGAGTCCTTTTTATACAACTGCAAACCATTTTTGTTGGTCCGGCTGGCAAGGCATGTAAAGCCATGCAATTTTTATGCAATTGCAAACCATTTTTTTGTTGGTCCAGCTGGCAAGGCATGTAAAGCCATGCAATTTGCCCAGACCAGCTACAAAGAAGATGTTGGGTGTGATGCAAACAAAGCATCATGATCTCCCCCCCCCCATCAAAGGCGCGTGACTTAGAAAGGTGTAGGTTCTACCTATGCATTGTTTTTGTTGTTGTGTGTCCTCAAGTCGTTTCTGACTTCTGGCAACCCTAAAATGAATATACCATGGTGCTTTCTTGACAAGATTTCTTCAGAGGAGGTTTGACGTTGCCTTCCCCTGAGGCTGAGAGCGTGTGACTTGTCCAAGGTCACCCAGCGGGTTTCATGACTGAGTGGGGATTTGAACCCTGGTCTCCAGGAGTCATAGTCTAGCACTCAAACCACTATACCACACTGGCTCCTAAGTTAGATACTGCAAAATGAATAAACAAATAATGGGCATAAAGCATTAAGGAATGAGTTTTGCACATGTGTAAAAAATGGTAAGTGCCACCTTATGTGCATAACTTTAATCGCAAATATAAGTAGTCAGTTTCTACTGCCTACATATTCTCCAACATTTCAGAAATTTTACAGCTGCTTTTAAAATGTTCCATTTTTTTCTTTCCTCCTCCCTCTTTCCCCCTTTGTCCTCAGATTGCTTCAATTGCTGCAAACTGAGTTGAAAATGCAAAATCAGTTTGCACTCAATTAACTCTCCAGGAAGGAAAGGAGAGGAGAAGAGAAGAGGGGGCAGAATTTTGCTTTTCCCCCATAGGTTCAAGCAAAAGCAAACTGTTGCAAAAGCAACCTGCTGCAACCTGCCCTACCTTGTGTGTTTAATTTATTTATTATTTATCTTATTTACTAGATTTATACCACACCTTTCTCTCAAAAAATGTGTTTATCGTCATGAATAACTTTTGCCATCTTGATCTCACGCTGATGTTGCTTGGCCACATGTGTCCTGGTTTTCATTTGTGAAAATGCATGGAGTCATGAAGTATGCGGGCAAAACTGAACTGCATTAATGTGGCTGTAAATAATGAAACTCTACAAAAATTCACCCTAGACAACGAGAAAATTGAAATTGTCAAAGTGTTCCCATACCTTGGCTCAAATATTGATCAGAATGAAGACTGCAGTCAAGAAATGAGAAGAAGGCTAGGATTGGGAAGAGCAGCCATGAAAGAAATGGACTTGACCCTAAAGTGTAAAGACATAACATTGAACACTAAAGTGAGGATCGTCCAAGCCATTGCATTCCCCATATACATGTACGGATGTGAGAGCTGGACAGTAAAATAAGCTGATAGGAAGGAAATCAACTCCTTTGAGAGAATGTGGTGCTGGAGAAGAGTGCTGAGGATCCCATGGACAGCCAAGAAGACAAACAATTGGGTTCTAGATCAGATCAAGCCAGAACTCTCCCTGGAAGCCAAGATGATTGAGGCTGTTTTTCTTTGGCCACATCATGCGGGAAAATGAATCATTAGAAAAGACAATTGGAAAAGTGGAAGGCAGTAGGAAGAAAGGAAGACCACATGCCTGATGGTTAGACTCAAGCAGGGAAGACATGGGTCTGGGTCCGCATGACCTGAGCAGAGAAGTTGAGGACAGGGGTATTGGAGACGTCTCATCCATAAGGTCGCCATGAGTCGAAGTCAACTTGAGGGCAGTTAACAACAATAAAATATTTATCTGGCAGAATCCAGCCATGTCTTTCAGCCTCGGTGTTCTGGTCTGCATAATAGGAAGAAACCACGTAGATCCTCAAGAGGACAACCTGTGAAGGTCAAGCTGATGTGCAGGATGGAGTTGGAACTGCCAGAGAAAACAGACCTGCTGTCTTCGCTGCGTTCAGGCTATAAAACTTTCCCTCCTCTCCTTCCCTCGCTGGGAACCCAGCCAGGGTCTGCATTTAGCTGTAAAATCATGGTAAGCAGTGCCAGGGGAGCAGCCTACTCCCGGACCTTCCCAGCAGAATAAGTAAAAGCTCTCAGAACACCGTCCCCAGTCCAGTACACTGCTGCCCACGCCATGAGTGGCGATACACAGTGTCCTTGCTGGGCTGTGCCCTTGGCAAAAGCTGCTTCTACTCTTGCAAACTTTTGAAAACACCGATTTTTAAAAAACTTGTTCATATAACTGAACATCTAGCCTACCCCAGAGAACCAACATAATGGTTTGAGTGTTGGACTAAGACTCTGGAGACCAGGCTTCGAATCCCTGCTCAGCCATGAAAACCCACTGGGTGACCTTGGGTAAATCACACTCTCTCAACCTCAGATGGCGGCAATGGCAAACCCCCATCTGGAGAAATTTGCCAAGGAAACCCTTGATATAGCAGCCTTAGGGCTGCTATAAGTCGGGAAATGACTTGAAGGCACACAACAACAACAAAGCCCACCCCATACCAGGTGTTTTGGGCACATACCAGTAGGACTTGGAAATGTAACTTTTGGTGGACTGGAACTCTCAGAAGTCCCCAGCCAGCCTAGCAATCCCCCCCCCCAGTTATTTCTTCCTCTGGTACAAAATGGTCAGTTAAAGGAAGAGACAACATGGTGTAGTACTGGATGACGACTCTAGAGACCAGGGTTCAAATCCCTGCATAGCCATGGAAACCCATTGGGCAAGTGACATTCTCTCAGCCTCAGAGGAAGGGAAAGGCAACCCCCTCTGAACAAACCTTGTCAGGAAAACCGCAAGGTAGGGTTGTCTTAGGGTCGCCACAGGTCAGAAACGACTTGAAGGCACACAACAACAACCACAGTGTCCAGCCACACAATTGAGCGAGGCATACCTGCATTTGCAAAGCATGTCCTTTGCAAACCCAAGCATTGCAAAGCTAGGCTTCCTTTGCCTCCTCCATGCTTTCCAAGACATTTTGTCATTAGGGTCTTTATAGAACCCAGTACAGTTTTTGCTTCTCCTTCTTCCAGCCCTTCCGGGGCTGCACTCAGCGCATGCCTAGGGGCAACCCAACGTGCGATGCTGGAGTTTTTGAAAACTAAAGTCGAACCCTTCGAGGGCCTTCGCAGGGATGAGATTATTCCTCCTCCTGTATTGTCAGCGCTGACGCAAATTCTCACACAAGGGATTTTTAAAATTATTTTTTAAAAGGGAGGGGGGGAGGAATTGTTCAGCTCCAGAATCTGACAGCAATAGGAGGGACCCATTAAGGAATTAGCACTCAAAAGCTGTCAAGGTTCCCCCTCCTTCTCCTTAATGAGATGGCTCAATTAACCGCCTGGAGGAAGCCAGGCATGAAACACAGGGGGGTCCGCCCCCCACCCACCCTGGCCCTGTCTCTGCTGACGGCTTAATTGCCCCCTCCTCTTTTCCCAGACATCCTCTGTCATTTTCACAAGCCCCTCATTATAGGAGGGGTGCCTGATGGTGGAAAAGCTCTTCCACGCACTCCCATGTTCCACCACCCACCCACCCACCCATCCAGCCCAAATTCAGGGCCTCTGATCTCTCCACTCCCCACTCTCTTTCCCTGATCAGTCCTCCCCTTGCTTCTGAGATCACCACCCGGACTCATCTGGCAAAAAAACAAAAACAAATTCACCATTTCGCTGCTATAGAAATTTCTTCCTTGCAGCTCTGGGGCCCAGGACTGAGACCGCTTACCACCAAAGAATCCCCTAATTCACACTTTCTGGTTGTTGTTCATAGAATCATAGAATCGGAAGAGATCCCAGGGGCTATCCAGTCCAAGCCCCTTCTGCCATGCAGGAATACACAATCAATCACCCCCAAGAGATGACCATCCAGCCTCTGTTTAAAGACCCCCAAAGGAGGAGACTCCACCACTTTCGAAGGGAGTGTGTTCCACTGTCAAACAGCTCTCACTGTCAGAAGGTTCCTCCTAATGTTGAGCTGGAATCTCTTTTCCTGGAGCTTCCATCCATTGCTCCATGTCCTAATCTCTGGAGCAGCAGAAAACAAGCTTGCTCCAGCCTCAATATGGCACCCCTTCAAATACTTAAACAGGGCATCATATCACCTTTTCTCCAGGCAAAACATACCCATCTTCCTAAGTCTCTCCTCATAAGGCATGGTTTCCAGACCCTTCACCATTTTGGTCGCTCTCCTCTGGACACGCTCCATTTTTTGGACTATGGTGCCCACAATTAGACACAGTATTCCAGGTGAGAATACTTGTTGTATGCCTTCAAGTCATTTATGACTTATGGCAACCCTAAGGCAAACCTATCCTGGGGTTTGCTTGGCAACATTTGTTGAGAGGTGGTTTGCTATTGCCTTCCTCTGAGGCCGAGAGCATGCGACATGCCCAAGGTGACCCAATGAACTTCATGGCCAAGCTGGGAATCAGATCCTGGTTTCCAGAGTCATAGTCAAACAGTCAAAGCACTGTGCCACACACACTTTCTTAAGCCAACCAAAAAAAAGGATAAACATCTGTGCAAGCTTTCAAGACTGTCAAGTCGCTTTGTCAGATAAAAAGAAAACCCCTAGGCATACCTTCCAACATTTCACAGATGAAAACTGGGACACGTGTGGCCAAGCAACATCAAAGTGTGGTCAAGATGGCAAACCTTATTAATGAGGAAGAACACACAAACTGTGCAGGAGTCTGCTTTTTCCTATGTAGAAAATGAAGCAAGCTTGTTTTCTGTTGCTTCGGAGACTAGAACAAGAACCCATAGCTTCAAATTATAAGAAAACAGGTCCCACCATAACATTAGGAAGAACATCTCTAAGAGGTACAGCTTTGGACCATTGCGGACTCTCCATCCTTGGAGGCCTTTAAACAGAGGCTAGATGAGCATCTTTAAGGAATGTTTTAGTTGTGCATTACTGAATGATAGAGGGTTGGAATAGATGACCTTTGCGGGTCCTTCCAAGTCAAAGATTCTATGGTTCTGCCTTCCACCCTTGAATTATCATATTTTCTATGATAGATAACAATCCATCAGTTATGAGAGACAGTCAGAGAGAGGGATATGTATATATACATATATATATATATATAGAGAGAGAGAGAGAGAGAGAGAGAGAGAGAGATTTTTGTGGCTGCTGTAGTAAACCCCCACCCTTTTCTCCTACTTTTTTTTTTTAAACAAAACAAATCTAGTGAAATTTCTACAGGCCATAAATCTGGCTAAGATTGAACTGCACTCGGCACCCATCAGCAGTAGCCATCCATCTTGCCAATGAAGTTTCATTCCGAAGGAAGAATGAATCGCACTGCGAGGGTACCTGGTAATTAAATTCTCTTCGCCACCCGTTCCAGCCTGGGCTGGTCAATGGAGAAAACATTTGTCTTTGGGAAAAGCCGCCACCCTTCTCCAAACTCCAAATCAAGACTCCAGGACGCTATTTCCCATCGTATGGATTAAAGCCATTGATTACTGTCTGGGCCCATTTATCATGGGAAATAGCTTTA